TTACCATGGCCTATCCATAACACATCCCTCTGGGGAGACAACACCACAGCATCCCTTTCTCCAGGCTGACAGCAACCACACAGGCCCAACAGTTTGGTAACTGGGAGTCTTTTGTGCAGTATCTAACCTCTGCAACTATATCCTGATGCCCTGCATGAATTTCTCTAGAATTTGGTCTGTGCCTCTCCCTCTGATCTCAAATTGTTTCTCCTTCCAGGTCACTTGTTACATCTAAGCCACACTATCCTTTCTGCTCCTATTCCTCAAATATGCCAAGCTCTCTCCTGCCTCTGGCCTTCGCCCATGCTGTCTTCTCTGCCTGGAACACTCTTCTTTGCAAGAATGATTTCTCTATCCTCAAGCCTCAGCTGAAACATCACCTCCTCAGAGAGGTTTGCCTGATTGAATAGGAAGTAGTTCCCTGACCCCATTATTCTTTATTTTGAGTCATCTGGGGTTTTTGTTTGTTTGTTTGTCTGTTTTTTGAGACAGAGTTTCACTCTTGTCATCCAGGCTGGAGTGCAACCTCAGCCTCCTGAGTAGTTGGGATTACAGGCGCCCACCACCACACCCAGCTAATTTTTGTATTTTTAGTAGAAATAGGGTTTCACCATGTTGGCCAGGCTGGTCTCGAACTCCTGACCTCAGGTGATCCACCTGCCTCAGTCTCCCAAAGTGCTAGGATTACAGGCATGAGCCACCACGCCCGTCTATTTTCTTTTTTACTTCATAGCACTTTCTCCCAATTGGGAATCGCACTGACTTCTTTTGTTTCTGTCTTGCCTTTGTGAGGGCAGGAACCCAGCCTTGTTTGAAGTTGCACCTCCAGGGCCTAACAGAGCCTGGCACACAGGAGGGGCTCGGAGGGGCTCTATTAACTCATGCCGATGAGTGAATGCCTCCTTGGGGCCAACCCTGCCTGGGGTAACCACCACCTCCCCACCTCTGAGCCCCAGGAGCTGGGTGAGATGTCCCCTCTTCTGCTCCATCTGTAGCTGGCATCTGTAGGCCCTTCTCTCAAAATCCCTTTGGGGCTGGGTGGCAGCCCCAGCAAGAGCGCCTGCACCTGGCCACCCTGTCCTCCCCAGTCCCAGGAAGGGAGGACATTTGATTAAGAAAATGGAGCTGCCCCAAACTCCCTGTTTGAACAGCTGCTCTGTGGCGATGACAAACATTGGCTCCCAGAGGCTCAGGTCTAGGGGAGGGGCCCCCTGACACCTTTGTTCCCAGATCCCAAGGCTGCCAGGATACCAACTGCCTGGGCATAGCCTGGCACCTTACAGGGGGTGGAAGGCTGCAGGGGCCTCCCTAGACTCTCCCCCGAGTAGATTCCAAGTCCCTTGGCCATCAGTCTGTCCCTACCCCCTGCCATGTAGCTAGTCCCAGGAGTGATGTCGGTGCCCCCTCACCCAGGCTGATGGGGACTCCTGGCCAACCGTGAGTTCGTAGGGGAGGGTGAGGGGTGCCCAGGGCGGGGCTAGATCCCACCTCTCAGCTGATGGGATGACGGCACCAGCACAGCAGCCTCCTGCCGTGTAGGTGGGTGACAGGGAGTGACTAATGTGCGAGCTGCGATGCTAAAAATTAACCCAGGGATCGTGTTTGGCGGAGGGGGTGGGGGTGGATGGGAAAAGGAGCAGGGACTCAGAATACTGTGTGGTCGGTATTCCCCCTGCCCTGCCACCCCTCCTTCACCTCCCACCAGCCTTCTGCTCCTTTAAGCCTCAGGGAACTCTGTGGGAGCCCCTCCCCCATGCTAGGCCAGAAGGGGCTCCCAACAATTCCAGGGGAGGACAGAGGCCTCCACTCCAGGCTTCATGCATGGTCAGGGGAGGGACATGGCCCTGCTGATAGGGTTCTGGTCTGAGGTCCCCACAGAGCCCTGCAGAAGCAGCCAGTGCACCTAGCAAGGGCAGGTTCCCGTCATCAGGCTGGGGGTGGGCAGTGGGGGTGGCAGCTGCACTACAAGAAAAGAATAGGTGGCCGGGTGCAGTGGTTCATGCCTGTAATCCCAGCACTTTGGGAGGCTGAGGCAGGTGGATCACCTGAGGTCAAGAGTTCAAGACCAGCCTGGCCAACATGGCGAAACACCATCTCTTCTAAAAATACAAAAATTAGCCAGGCATGGTGGTGGGTGCCTGTAATCCCAGCTACTCGGGAGGCTGAGGCAAAAGAATTGTGTGAACCTGGGAGGCGTAGGTTGCAGTGAACCAAGATAGCACCGCTGCACTCCAGCCTGGGCAACAGAGAGAGACTCCGTCTCAAAAGAGAAAAAAAAAGAAAAGGAGGCCAGGCGCGGTGGCTCACGCCTGTAATCCCAGCACTTTGGGAGGCCGAGGCGGGCGGATCACAAGGTCAGGAGATCGAGACCACAGTGAAACCCCGTCTCTACTAAAAATACAAAAAATTAGCCGGGCGCGGTGGTGGGCGCCTGTAGTCCCAGCTACTCAGGAGGCTGAGGCAGGAGAATGGCGTGAACCCGGGAGGCGGAGCTTGCAGTGAGCCGAGATCGCGCCACTGCACTCCAGCCTGGGCGACAGTGCAAGAAAAGGATAGGTGACTTCTGTGTCGCTATGTGCTGGGCTAACACTTCCACATCCATTACCTTACTGAGACCTCACAGTACATCTGAAAGCTGTGTATCACTCTATTTGACAGATAAAGAGACTGAGAATTAGGTGAAGGCAGCATAGCTGGCGCCTGGCAAGGCCAGGATGCTCTCATGCCTGTTTGTCTCTACAGCTTAGGGTGGTGAGAAGGAAGTCTTCCTGGAGGAAGAGGTGTGAGGACAGGGTGGAAGAGATGGTGCAGAATGAGCTGAGCCTCTCAGGCTAGAGGCCTCACCTGTGGAAAAAGAGGTGTTGGTGTGGTGGGTATATGAGAGGTAGGACCTGAAAGAGTAGGTCCGAGGTTTGCCAGGGAGCAGTAAGAGGAGGGGCCAGCCCAGAGAGCTCTCGGTTCCATGCATGCGGGTGTTGTGCTGAAGGGAGGAAGAGCAGTCCCGCCTAAGGGGAGCAGAGCGGGGCTCTGGAGACTTGGTGGGGTCCACAAAACAGGGGAGGAGGGCTTGAAGAAGAGCTTTGCTAACACATGTGGGAAAACTTATTAGAAGGAGTGAACCTCCGAACCCTCCCATTTCCCCTGGAAACCAAACCAGAGACCTTGCGCTGAATGGCAGCAGGAGAAGGACAGCAGGAGGCCCTTTCTGCTGCCCAGCCGGAGCTCATGCGGCTGGGAAGTGAGGGAGGCTGTGGGATTCCCCAGCTCAGGAGAGACGTCAGGCTGGCTGGCTGGGAGGCTGCCTGGTCCTGCACTGACGGGTGGATGAAATGACTGTAACTGGGGAGTGATGGGCTCAGAGAAGTGAGACAGAAAGGAAGCCGGGGGCTGTGGAGGGGCCAGGGGAACCCAGGAGAGTTCCTCAAGAGAGTAAAACAGCCAGAGTGCAGCGGTGTGCTGACCCCTGGTGGGGACCCCGGAACACTGCGCCTCTCGGAGCCCGGACCATACCAGGTGGAGAGGGAGACAGAGCAGGGCTCTCCCATCAGCCAACCGCTGGGAGCAGCCTCCCTCCCTCCTTAGAGCCCACCTCTTCAGCCCTTCCTCAGCCTGCTGCAGGCTTGTACAAAGTGGAGCCTCCCCTGAACCCCACAACCATTTATCTGAAGTGTTCAGACACCCTCCCAACGCTTCTGGTCCCCAGGGCCTCTCCTCACCCCACCACCCAGATTGTGGGCTCCCAAGGGAGTGAACCCCATCTCACGCCAGCACTGATCGAAGGCAGGTACGTCTGCATGAATGAATGAGCAGTTGAGTTCAGAACATCTACCTAAATAACTAAATGACTCCAACCAACAGATCTTCTCTGCACAGAGAACCCTGTGTGGTATGAAAGCTCATGGACTGGGGTTGATGCGGAGAGGAAATATACTTTTCAACTGTAGGATGCAAGAGTGTTTTTATTATTTATTTATATTTTATTTTTATTTTTAGAGATGGGTCTTGCATGCAATCAATATGGGGACTTCCCAGGAGCAGGAGACCACCAGGTTGCCTAAGACACATGAATTTTTGCTTTCAGGGACACCTCCTAAGCTTCAGTGATCCTTCCATCTTGCAGTTTGCCTTTGTGGGGAGAACACACAAATTTATGCAAAAAGTAAAAATGCAAATACTGCCTCTGGGTCTCTTTCCCAGTTGCTCCCCTACAAAATCACTTAGCCTTTGGTGTCTCACAGTTGATCTGGTCCACTCAGCAACCCACAGAGTGACAGCCCACCCAGGTCCCAGCATACATAGCTTCTTCTGGAGCCCCCCAAATCTCACTCTAATTGAGGGCTTGGCACGAGCCACTGTCTCTGAGGAGTGTGGTCTCTGGGCAAATAAGGCAAGACCAGTGGTTGGCAGCTACAGCAGTCAGTAGGGTGGGGAACATTTAACAGCAGATAGGGCTGTACTCCTACCCTTGCCATTCTTTTTTCCCTTTCCCTCCCCCTTGCAATTCTTTTCTGTTTTTTGTTTCTTGAAACAGGGTCAGCTGGGTGCGGTGGCTCACGCCTGTAATCCCAGCACTCTGGGAGGCTGGGATCACTTGAGGTCAGGAGTTCAAGACCAGCCTGACCAACACAGTGAAACCCAGTCTCTACTAAAAATATATAAATTAGCCAGGTGTGGTGGCACATGCCTGTAAACCCAGCTACTGGGAAGGCTGAGACAGGAGAATCGCTTGAACCTGGGAGGTGGAGGTAGCAGCAAGCAGAGACTGGGACACTGCACTCCAGCCTGGGCAACAGACTCTGTCTCAAGAAAAAAAAAAAAGAAACAGGGTCTTGATGTGTGGTCCAACCTGGAGTGCAGTGGTGTAATCATAGCTCACCGAAGCCTCAATCTCCTGGGTTTAAGCGATCCTCCCACCTCAGCGTTCAGAGTAGCTGGGACTACAGGCCTGTGCCACCACGCCAGGCTAATTTTTGTATTTTTTGTAGAAAGAGGTTTTGCCATGTTGTCCAGGCTGGTCTCAAACTCCTGGGCTCAAGCAATTCTCCTAACTCGACCTCCCAAAGTGCTGGGATTACAGGTGTGAGGCACTGCTCCTGGTTCCCTTGAGATTCTGATCCAGGAGTTCTAGGGTGGGCTGGGGCATTGGTATTTTTAAAGCACCCTAGGTGCTCAGTGAGTCTTTATTGAAAGGATGCTGACTCAAGATGATTCTGGAGACCTCTGAGCTTCCTCCCACACAGATCCTTAGGGCTCTAAATACTGGCCGAACTCGGCCCCCTGAGGCTGTGTCTTCTTGGGGAGTTAAGGACCTGTGCCTCCCACTGGCCCGGAACCACTTTCTGCTTCCTGGTGTAAGCTTTGGTATGGATGGTGGCCGTATCCCTAGAGACTGGGAGCTGTTAGAGGGCAGGGATCCTAGCTGACACATCTGCGTCCTCGCCTTGGTTGGAGGGGGTATGGGTGGGGGCGAGGGAGGAGATGGGGGCGGGGCTCATCACAGTGTCCAGCCCCTGCCGGCTGGCTGGGTGTCGCCAGTACTCAGGGGCGAGGTGGGGGGAGAGGAGGCGGGGCTGGGGCGCACAGCCGGAGGGGGATCCCTGCCGGAGGCTGCTCTTTACGGGTTCCCGTCTATACCAGAGTTGGGGCTCAGCTCGGAGACATGGGACAGGTGGAGGTGCTGGGGGTTGGAGCCCCACGCGCTGCTCAAGAGGCTGCAGGCTGACCTTCAAGGCCTGGGCTAGACTGCAGCGGTTGGGGGCTGGCGGTGTTGCTCGGGTGGAGTCCGCCGGGCGCCGCCCTCCCTCTCCACCCTCTCCCGCCCCGGGGCCGGGAGGCTGTGGGTTGAGCTGCAGAGGCCAGCTCCCTCCTGGGCGTGCCGCCGCCGCGATTCGGGTGGGAGCGCAGAGGGGGCCTCGGGGTTGTGCTTTGCTGGGATCTGGGAAGGAAGTAAGCGGCAGCGCCGGAGTGAGTAACCGCCTTCCGAGGCAGCTAGTCCCGCCGCCTCAGGAAGTCCCGGCGCCATAGCGCACCGCCGCCCGCCACGCCGGGACCTTCCCCTCGCACTAGCCCGCCCCCACCCCGCCTCCATCTCGCGCTCCCAGCCGCAGACGCGGGCGCTTCTGCACGCTCAACCCCTCACCCACGGAGACGCTCAACCTCTTACCCACGCAAACCCCGGCCCGCCGGTGACCTCCCTTGAGGCTCCTCCTTCTGCTCTGGCCCAGCCCATCCCCTGCTGCTGCTCCTCCTGCCCCGGCCCAGCCAGTCCACCGCCCTCCCATCCCCAAGGCCTCGAACCCCAGCCCGCCGAGCCGCTCCTCACTGGGTGCTGTGGTTCCCCGCTGCAAAGGGGCGGGTCCCGGTAGGGGGCGTGGCCCGGCCGACTTGCGGGGCGGCGGCGCCCTCTGTCGGCAGACTCGGGAACTGCCACACTCGTCACCCCGCCCCCGGCCCTGCTCCCAGACCCGCCTGGACCTCTCTGCCAGCTCCCCTCTCTCCAGGACGTGCGCCTGCAGGACTCGGAACGTGCAGAGGTCCGTCCTGGCCCCAGCCATGCCACGGGCTGTCTGAGAGAGAGTCGCAGCCTCTCTGAGGCTTGGCTTCCTTTCCTGTGAAATGGCTGTGGTGAGGAGCAAACGCTCAGCAGTGAAGAAGGACACTTTGTAACCGCAAAGGAGCCTGTGAGTGTGAGGTATGGTTGTTATCAACGCTAAGGGTAGTCTCTTGCCTTCTGCGGGGGTGACGACCATCCTTCTCTCTGCTCCAGCCCCACAGTGGAAGGAGAGCATAAGTCACCTCCAGAGATTATCACATGTGGTGGATTGCCTTCAGTCGGCCAGACAGGTGGCTCACCAACACTTTGGGAGGCCAAGGCCAGAGGATCTCTTGAGCAGAAGTTCAAGACCATCCTAAGCAACATAGCCACACCTCGTCTCTACAAAAAATTTTTTTTAATGATTTGAGTGTCGGTCGGGCGCAGTGGCTCACACCTGTAATCCCAGCACTTTGGGAGTCGGAGGCGGTCAGATCACGAGGTCAGAAGATAAAGACCATCCTGGCTAACACGGTGAAACCCCGTCTCTACTAAAAATACAAAAAATTAGCCGGGCGCGGTGGCGGGCGCCTGTAGTCCCAGCCACTCGGGAGGCTGAGGCAGGAGAATGGTGTGAACCCGGTAGGCAGAGCTTGCTGTGAGCCGAGATCTCACCACTGCACTCCAGCCTGGGGGACAGAGCGAGACTCCCTCTCAACAACAACAACAACAACAAAAATGATCTGATGTCTCTAGTCACAGCTACTCGAGAGGCTGAGATGGGAGGCTCACTTGAATCCTGGAGTTCCAGGCTGCAGTGAGCCGTGATTGTGCCACTGGCCACTGCACTCCAGCCTGGGTGACAGAGTGAGATCCTGTCACAAGAAAGAAAGAAAAAAAGAAAGAAAGAGAGAGAGAAAAAAAAGAAACAACCAAAAAACTAGAAACAGACAAACCTGGATTTAGGGCCTTGCTCTGTGACTTTGTATTTCCACCCTTGAGCAAACCACACAAGCTCTACCTTCCTCAGCCTCAGTTTTCTCTTCTGCAAAATGGTGGTAATGACAGGAATACCCACTTCACAGGCAGCGGTGAGGCCCTGCACACAGCCCAGTGCATGCTGGTTAGGCCTCTCCTTTTGCTTCCTGAGCCTGCAGGAGCTCTGCCTTCTTCATGCACCACGTGGTAAGGAAGGAGCTGGAGGCCTCCGCCTCTCGGACCTTGCTCACTGCTCGCTGCTTTTTTTTTCTTTTTTTTTTTTTAACAGAGCCTTGCTCTGCCCAGGCTGGAGTGCAATGGCACAACCTCGCCTCTCTGCAACTTCCGCCCCACGTTCAAATGATTCTCCTGCCTCAGCCTCCCGAGTAGCTGGGATTACAGGCGCCTGCCACCACGCCCGGCTAATTTGTTATATTTTTAGTAGAAATGGGGTTTCGCCATGTTAGCCAGGCTGGTCTCGAACCCCCGATCTCAGGTGATCCACCTGCCTCGGTCTCCCAAATTGCTGGGATTACAGGTGTGAGCCACTGCACCCGGCCTTTTTCGGCACTGCCCTTAACCACATGGGCCTCATTGTTCTTCCGGCATACCCAGACTTTCCCCATCTCAGCGCCCTCCCACTCGTCCTGTGTTTCCATGGGCTTTCCCCGGGTAGGGGCCTTTCTTTCCCTAGCTTTGCTGAGGTCCCTGCTAATTTGTCGCCTCCTCGGAGAAGCCCTGTCTGGCCGTTCCGTATCGCTAGCGCCCTCTATCGTTCTCTAGCAGCTCACCCGGTTCTGTTTTTCTTCATTTTACTTCTCGTTGTGTGCCGTTCTCTTACATATGTTTTTGTCTTTATCCCTCCCATGGAAGTCACCTCCATGAAAGGACGGGGCTTTCCGAGGTTCTTTTCCTCTGTGGTTCCTAGAAGAGGGCCTGGCACATAGCCTGCCTTGGCTAGCTTTTTGCGTGAATATGAAGGGATCCACCTTCCTCCCTTATAAGAGGTAGCAGTACCTCCTGTTACCAGCAGAGGGCACCACCGCACAGCACTTGGGGGCCGCAGGGGCTCCTGCTGGGACGGGAAATATTTATAAAGCCCATAGGCCTCTCCTCCCATAATGTGGGCGCTCCACAGCTGGGACCGGAAGCAGGAGGGCCCCCTGCGCTAATCTGCCCTGGCAGCACTGAGCTGGCACGCCCTGGGTGCATCACCCGGTGTACTCTGGTGCCCAAGGTCGGAATACCCTCACTGGTGGCTTGGACACACCCCTGAGCAGCTGATGCTTCTGTACAGATCACACCCCGTCCCGGGCTCTCAAAATGAGGGCAATGACATGAGCCACACTGCTCGCTCACGGGTTTGCTGTGAGGTTGGGACAGGAGTGCAAATGTTTTATGAATGTAAACATGGGACAAATATAATTTATTGGTAGTACAGCAGATTGACAACAAAAGAGGAGAGAAGATAAAGTATTTAAAGGGAATTGCAAGGCTAAATGAAGGTGGGAATTAAGACAGTGAAGGAGAACGAAGAAGTTAAAAATAACAATTACCTTTCACCAAGAGCTTATTAGGAGCCAAGGCAGAGGAAAGTGATCTCCAAACATTGTCTAATTATAGCCAACACTTACATGGTGCTGACCTCATGCCAGGAACTCTTTAAGTGCTTTATGCATAAAAACTCACTGGATCCTCACAACAACTCAGGGAGGTAGGTCATATCGCTGTCCTGTTCTACACGAGGAAACTGAGGCCCAGACAGCTTAAGTGACTGGCCCAAGGCCACATAGATAGACAGGGCTGGGCAATCTGCCTCCTGGAATGTGCTCTTAAAGCCCCACGGTCACAGCCACACCAAAAGGGAGATATTATTATTTTCATCCCATTTCCCAAGCAAGAAACTGAGCTCAGCAGATGTACAAAGCCTGCGTCAAGCCACACTGAGAATATGTGTATTTGAGCCCAGCTTTACCACCCACCAGACTAGGCCTGCAGGAGCTAGGAGAGGGCTTCAGGAATGTGCATAGGTTCTCTCAGAGGGGCAGCAGCAGACATACCCACTCTGCCTCTGAGGGTGGAAGAGAGGGTGAGAGCACAGAGGCTGGGCAGGGCTGATGGGGTTGAGGAAGAGGCTGCTTGGTGGCCTCAACTCCATGGAAGGAAGGTGGCCAGGCATCTTCTGGACAGGAAGTGAGGGGTGTGTTGACAGGCACAGTGGCTGTCCACAGGGATTCTAGCCAGAGCTGTGGGCTCCCCACAAATCTCCACAGGGAGACTAGGGACTGAGGGGCAGGCCTTACAGTGGGAGGTAGGAGCAGCCCCATCCCTACCACAAGTGCCCCTAAGCCCCGCCCCGACTTCCAGCCAGTTACATAAGCTGCTGCATACCCAGGCCTGGAAATAGCTGAGGCTGTACTGGCTGGGCTAGGAGACGTGATGAATGGTCCCCAGGAGCATCAGCTGACCACTCTGTGCTCCTGAAGTGACCTGAGGGCCTGCCAGCAGCTCGGGTTACCCAGCTCTCCCTGGGAGGCAGCCCTGCCTGGTCTGCTGAGGATGGCTCTCATGTGATTCTGTGTCTGGACATTTATGGTTCGAGCGCCTGTGGAATGGTCCCTCTCCCAAGCCGGAGCAGCTAAGGCAGCTCCCAGCCACGCCGTGCCCACTGGCAGCCTCCAGATGCTGGCAGCCAGGGCATTGCCCAGAGCAAGTACTTGGATCTCTGCAGACAGTCAGCACTGGGAGGGCTGAGAGCTTTGCTGCTCTGGGTCCTGTGCTAAGGGCCTCCAAGAAAAGAGGAAGAGGAGCCTGAGAAACTCGGGGTGCACGTGGGGACTGCAGGTGTCATTACAGGGCTGCATTCCACCCACATCCCCATGCCTCCTGTTTCACAGCCCACTCTGTCACTGAACTCGTGGCCCTGGACACAGGGGGGCACCCACATACTCTGATGCCCACTGCAGAGGGCAGAGCCACACACCCCCCCAGGGACTAGGAATATGCACCCTTACTTCTGAGAGTACCATGGCTAGGCTCAGGAGTATAGGAGGGCATTCTCCCAGCATATGGTGATCATATGTTAAGAATTACGATTGTGTTGATCAGGTGCAATGGCTCACACCTATAATTCTAGCACTTTTAGAGGCTGAGGTGGGAGGATCGCTTAAGTCCAGGAGTTTGAGACCAGCCTGGGCAATATGATGAAATCCTGTCTCTACAAAAAATACGAAAATTAGCCAGGCGTGGTGGCATGTGCCTTTAGTCCCAGCTACTCGGGAGTCTGATGTGGGAGGATCACTTGAGCCCAAGAGGTTGAGGCTGCAGTGAGCCAAGATTGTGCCACTACACTCCAGCCTGGGTAACAAAGTGAGACCCTGTCTCAAAGAAAAAAAAAAAGAGAGAGAGAGAGAAGTATGAATGATTATGGCTATGCCAACTCGACACCTGCTTGAGGGGCTGGGCACGGTGGCTCACGCCTGTAATCCCAGCACTTTGGGAGGCTGATGCAGGTGGATCATGAGGTCAAGAGATCAAGACCATCCTGGCCAACATGGTGAAACCCTGTCTTTACTAAAAATACAAAAATTAGCTGGGCATGGTGGTGCCTGTAGTCACAGCAACTCGGGAGGTTGAGGCAGAAGAATTGCTTGAACCCGGGAGGCGGAGGTTGCAGTGAGCTGAGATCAAGCCACTGCACTCCAGCCTGGTGACAGAGCAAGACTCCGTCTCAAAAAAAAAAAAAAAAAAAAAAAAAAAAAAAAAGATACCTGCTTAAAAAACAAAAAGACCAGGCCGGTTGCAGTGGCTCATGCATGTAATCCCAGCACTTTGGGAGGCCAAGGTGAGTGGATCACGAGGTCAGGAGTTCAAGACCAGCCTGGCCAAGATGGTGAAACCCCATCTGTACTAAAAATACAAAAATTAGCTGGGTGTGGTGGTGGTGGTGGTGGGCACTTGTAATCCCAGCTACTTGGGAGGCTGAGGCAGAGAATCGCTCATACCTGGGAGGCGGAGGTTGCAGTGGAGCCGAGATCATGGCACTGCACTCCAGCCTGGGCGACAGAGCAAGACTCCATCTCAAAAAAAAAAAAAAGACCAAAAATCAAGTTCTCCCTAAAAAGATTAATGCTTTAAGTGAAATTATCTCTCTATTATTCCCCAAATCCTTTAGTGGAATAGGCACAATAGGCACTCCCAGGGAGCTAGGACCTGTTTATTTTGATTCCAGGACCCTCTGACAGGTTGGAAACCCCCAGCTGGAGAAGTGTGGGACATTTTCTAAAAGAGCAATGGAAAGTGAGTGAGTTGCCCCACCTGCCTGACCACTGATTGCCTGTCCGATGACGGGAGGGACACACACATGCACACAAGCTCCACCTCTCTCCTTGGTGCTCAGATGTGGGGGCAGAACTCCTCTGCAAACTCCTGCAGCAGCATTCCCTGCAGACCCCTTGCCTTT